GGGTCTGAAGCCGGACTGAAATGGGTCCAGATAATCAGTTTCATCCAAGAGTGCTTGGAGTTGTCCCGCCACCGCCTGCTCTAACACCTTGCCCAAGAACGGGATGTTGGCCACCGGTCTATAATTGGTGGCCACCTCTGGATCCAGGGATGCCTTCTTTAGGACTGGCCGGACTACCGCCTCCTTTAAAGGGGCAGGTACCCGGCTGTCTCTTAAAGAGGCGTTGACCACCTCCAGGATCCAGGTGTCTATCCCGTCCTTGGCTTTCTTGAGTAGCCAAGATGGGCAAGGGTCCAGTAAGCAAGTGGTGGGACGTACTTGTCCAAGCACCTTGTCCACATCATCAGGCTGCGGCAACTGAAATTCATCCATCAATTGTGGACCAGACGGCAACATTGGCACCTCCCCTGAAGGTTCTGAGTCACTAGTGGAGTCCAAATGGCATTTATTTTTAAAGATGGAAATTTTAAAAAACGGTATGCCCATGGGCATCGTGTTGAGGTCCCTGGACTACTTTGTACTTGAAATAGAAAGATAATATAAGAACATGCCCGTTGGGGAAGTGTGATTCATGATGGCTCAGTCACGCACACGGTTGCCTCACTTGCTGCTCCAGTCATCAGGCGGTAGGAACATGAGAAGAGATTTTATCACAGAATTCTTGTCGGTTTAAGCCACTATGGATGGAAACCCTCCAGGGTTCCAAGCAGTTTCTCCTGCCCTGTCCAGAGATGCTGAGGCTCAAACCTGAACCTTCTGCATGCAAAGCAGAGCTGTGGCCCTTCCTATAATTGGGGGACCTCTCCAATGAGCACACAGGCGTGAATCAACCCAGCGTGTTTCGCCCAGTCCCATGTTGCAAATCCATCGCTGAACTAGGATTTTAAAGCATACTTAATCTTATTCTTGGGACACAGGTGGCACAGGGGGTTAAACTGCTGAGCTGCTGGGCTGGTTGATCGAAAGGTTGACAGTTCGAATCCACAGACAGGTGAGCTCCTGTGCTTTGTCCCAGCTCCTGCCAACCTTGCAGCTCAAAAGCAAGCAAATGCAAGTAGATAAAAAGGTACCACTTCAGTGGGCAGGTAACAGCGTTCCGTGCACTTCAGTGTTCAGTCATGCCGGCCACCTGACCACGGAGACTGTCTGCGGACAAACCCTGGCTCCCTCGGCCAGGAAATGGAGATGAGCACCACCCCCAAGAGTCAGACATGACTGGACTTCAGTGTCATGAGGACACCTTTACCTTTTAAATCTTATTCTTGGACTACTGGATCATGTTGGCTCTCTCAAATTTAGACATCCTTCTTAGGATCCTCTTGGAAAATGAATTACTGTTAGTCAGTGCTTTTTTTGTAAAAAAAAAAAAAAAAAAGGTGCCGGAACTCACATCCCTCCGGCAGTAAGCACACACACCAATCCCAACCCAAGCAGCTACCTCTCACTATCAGATAGCAGATAGCAGACACAATAGCAGCCTGCAGGCACTATGTTAATGAAGTTTGCTGCTGATCTGCTACTCTGTTCAAAATCACTTCTAAAATCCATTGAAAAAACGGTGCTGGAACGCCATTCCGGTGCGTTCTATGACAAAAAAAGCCCTGCTGTTAGTGATTCTTTCTCCAAGAAGAAATCCGGCAGCTTTCCGAGCCAACCTGCCATGCCGAAGTGCCGAGCTCCTTGTCACGGACGGCTTTCTTTCTAGGTTTAACATCAGCCAGCTGGAAGAATGGTTGCGAGGAAAGAACCTGCACCAGAGTGGAGCTGCCGCCACCATGGAGCCTTTGATCCAGGCAGCACAGCTGCTGCAGCTGAAAAAGAAAACCTCTGAAGATGCGGAGGCCATCTGTTCCTTGTGCACGGTCCTCACCACGCAGCAGGTAAGCGTCCAGGCTGGAAGGGCCTGTTCTTCGTAGGCTCAGGAAGGCTCCCAAGAGATCAAACAAGCCCCTGTCCCTGTGAGAAAACGAGCCAAGGTCCCAGTGAGCAGGCTGCTGGGCTGAGCTAGGGTTGCACCTGCGTTTCCTTGCCCCTGAGCTTACACTACATTGGCCGTTCAGCCAGGCATATAAAGCTGACCCAATGACCGGGGCATTTGCACTGAGGGCTCCTTGACACTCCTCCTTGTGCCTCTTTTCTTCCAGCACCCACTCGCCTCCCCCCCCCCCCGCCCCATTTGTCGTTCCAACCTTCCTTCCTAAGGTTTCACCATCTCGCCAGGAGAAGGAAACATGGCTTTGCAGAAGCGGTGCCTTTTGCTAGAGATCATAATCCGTTCAGTGATCATGTACAACCCGTCTTGTTTTCACTTTCACAGATTATTAAAATACTCAATCTCTACACTCCTGTGAATGAGTTTGAAGAGAGAGTGACTGTAGCCTTCATAAGGAACATTCAGGTAAGTTCAGTTCTGCAGCAAAGAGAAGGTGGGAGATTTATTGCTCCTACGTGGCAGCAGCAGTCAGGCTGTATATGTGCAAACTGCCACATGTCTGTTTTCTGAAAGGCAGAGCTTTAGCTATAAACCTTAAGCTCAACCCTGGAACATACCAGATAACAGAGCATTTGAATTTGAAAACAGAAGGCTAACACAGTTATATTATGATATTATTTTCTATAATTATATTAGGTCACATTTCTGTAAGTTCCCGGATAATTCTTCTCTTCATTCTGGACATCAGCATTATAACTGTAATCTGATCCTGGTGTTCCAGAAAAAAAAAGCAAAGAGAAGAACCTTTGTCTGAACTATTTCCATTTATTGAAAGCTTCCCCAAGATAAAATTAAACAACAGAAATAAGGCATAATGGAAGCAATACTTTAGAAAGGCATCAGATGGAAGGAATACCCTCCAGTTTCTGCAGCATGTCAGACGGAGGCATAGGCAGTCCTAGGCCTCCATTGTTCCTGTTCTTGTTTGGAAATCCCGGTAGATAGAGCAGGTGGCAAATAGAAGAAGGCTACTAGGTTTGCCCTGGCTTGGCTAAATACCAAGTAGCCCTCAGTTCTGCCCTTGCAAACAAGCAGCACTACCAGTAACAAGAAAAGAGGATTCTTCTGACTTCTGTTAGCAACCCCGCTGAAACTTGACCATGCATAGTAAAGAGACCCTAGGGGCGTGCAACTCGAGTTTGTTTTGCTTTAAAAATGCAGTAAGCAATACCCAACAATGCCTTTGTGTGAGTGCAAATCACACTGCGCTAGCACACGGGACCTCTGCTGCAACGCCACTAGCAGGAGCTTGTGCATGTAATTTAAACACGCCCTGTGTGTTCGAGGGCCTGCTGGATCATCTGCCGTGGGGAAGTGGCAGTTCTCTTCACAGATCACACAGCGTTGCAGTTGATACAGTGAGAAGCCGCGGGAGGCCAGTAGACCAAGGAGTAGAGTCAGGGCCAAGGAGTGGCCGGGTGCTGCGGGTTCCGTGATATGACAGGCCAGGCATGTCAGCAGGCTTGGCTTCATTCAGACAGGATGGGCTTGTTTCCCACTCTCGGTCAGCTGCGTGTGTTTGCTTCAGGCCTTTGCAACCTTGTGAAGCTGGGCCTGTTTGCCAGCCATGCAAGAGATGCGGTCAGTTGCCACCTACATGGTGGCATTTTTAACTCCATGGACCACTAGGATATGGATTGGTCTTCCAAGGGAGGTGGTGGAGCCCCCATCAGGGAGGGTGTTCAAGCGAAGATTGGACAACCACATATTAGGGATTACCTGAGTGGAGCTGGCTGGAGCCGGGGGTCAGACTAGATGGCCTAGGAGACCCCTCTTTCTTTCTGTTTCATCAAATAATAGGCATGTGAGCAAACAACAGGCAGTCAGTCAACAGTATCCGACTAGTCAGCTGACTGGTATGTCAGCGCTCCAATTTGAACAGCCAGGCAGCTCCAGTGTAAGCGTTCCATGTGTTGCCCAGAATTTTGTGTCTCTGCTGAAGTGTTCCTCCCGCTTCTTGTTCATTTAGGCACATTTACAAGAGCGGAACGACCCTCCGCAGCTGCTGTTAGACTCCAAGTTCATGTTCCCGGTTTTGTTTCCATTCAACCCTTCTTCTCTAACCATGGACTCGATTCACATCCCGGCTTCTCTTGGCCTGGAATTCCTTAACAAAGTTTGAAAATGCTATAAGGACTCCCAGCCCAGTTTCCCAAGGGTTCAAGCAAAAAACAACAACAAAGTGGAATTAAAGGATCTCATCAGAGGTGGACCAAATGAACAGTTAAAGAACCAATACACTTTTGTCAGTCAGTGCTAAATGTACAGCATAAGAAAATGATCTTATATTTTGGTTGGATGCTTTTGATTTGTACGGGTTTTGTTTGTCTGTCTCCTTTTTGAGGGGGTGATCGATCTTGCAGCTAATACTTGAAACAAGAGAGGGGTTTGTACTGCTTATATCAGACTTAAATATTGTCTCCTGCCTGCCACTCAGGCACCAGCCCTGGCAAGTGGGACATTTATTTTGATTTTCATAAATAATGGCTTTCAAGGAATTCTGTGCTGAAATAACAAAAAGAAGAAAAAAAGACTGAATGGCCACACATCTTCAAAATATTCATGGTCTGTTTGCAGAAATTGGAAGCAGGCTTAAGTTGTGCAAATGCTGCTATCTGCCATTTTTAACAAGATTGTTTTAGGAAATAAAGTTGCTGCAGGCCAAACTAGTAATTCGTGATGTAGTTGAAAGAGTAGTGGAAAGAAAACAGTACATTTTCCTTGCATCTGAAGCTTGAGAAAGTAGCTGCTGTTGCAGGTCCCTTCAAATCGCAATCTGCATGTCTCATAAAGTAGATTGCTTACAGGGGCAGTCCCGATCCATCATTAGCATATCAAATGGAATTTCTTCCATATGCAGCATGGGGAATAAAGGAAGTTGTGTACCCACGTACCACTATACTAGCTTAATACCATAAGTATGAATCCACTACTGGCTACTACAGTCCAGAATTTTGCAGCAGTTGATGAGGCCTCATTAATCCCAGTGATATTTATGAAACTACTTTGATTTGATATACTGTGTGAGAAGCAGTACAGTGTGCGAGGTGTATCATACCTAAAGCAGGGGAAAGACAAGTCCTTGCCAACACAGTTGATGAGCTCCTACAGCCCACAATAGTGTGATCACGCTGGCGGCCTACCAGTCTGCGGCACAGATACCCCGACTCAGTTGTGTATCATTGTGGAGTAAACATTTCCCTAATCTGCAATCTGGTGCAGCTTATTGGATTGGCAGAGCTGTGTGCGTGGAACTAATCTTCAGCCAGTTTGGTGATTTTGGCGGTCCTCCAAGCCAGTAAACAAGGGCCCTATCGTGTACCACAGAAGCAGCAATGCAAGAGATAGGCATTTAGTTTCATAGCAAAATATTGGTTGACAGGGAATTGTTTTGAGAGTAGAATTACAGTGAAATGCTAAATGACCTTGTATCTATATCAGCATGAAAGAGTGGACAATCATGAGTAAGAAAACTAATTTCTTACAGATCCAATGGCACTGTTATTTGACTAACTTCCAGCCCTTATTTAACACTAGAGTAACAGCCCTACATATGCATAGGTAAAAGGAACAGAAACAGTTTCACTGATAAGAATTTGATGGTTCTAGGAGTATTTAATTTCTAACCCAAAGGGGATTTTCAAAATCCTTTTAAGGTAAATAGTTTTCCCTACCCCCATTACATGGGAATTAAACCACATCTGCTGCTTTCAACTATTCTTCATTTGGTGTCAGGTTAGTTATAGTTATTAAATGGGGCCATATAATGGCAAGAGTTGCATGAATCCATAAGGAGACAAATGCAGAATTCACTTTTTGCAGCTTCCATTAACTTGCACATACAAGCTAGTGAATTCCAGCAGGAAGATTTGGTACTAGTTGTTTGTTTGGTACTCAGTTTGGTCCAGACTTACTGTTCAGACTCTTTACACTTGCATTTTTTGAGACAGATCTTAGACAAGTGTTGCTTTTAACATGGCTAACATCACCCTCTTCAGACCAATTTTGCTTGCTATAAATCAAATCACCAACTTGCAAAGTAGCTTCTTTACAATGAAATGCAGCTTCACTAAATGGATCGATACTACAGCATTCTAACCTATTTCAGGAAAGAACTGGAGCACGTTCCCATTTTTAGCAGATCATTAGTCCCAAGGCCAGTGCTCTGTCTAAAAGCTGAAGAGTCTGCATATTTGGGTCCTGCTGATTCAGGCTATGCTGCTCAGCACTGTGCCATATTGAGTCCAGGGATTACAGGTGCACAGACACAAATTCCTAAGGTCACCTTGTAAATCAAAGTCTCTTTCAGTCAAGCTAAGACATGCCTATACAAACACTGCCCCAACACTTCAGTATATACGTATATATTGCTATGAAGCTGAGACTGTAATCTCAAATTAAATTCTATGGAAATCTAGGGAGCCAACTATTCCTAACTAATTCGTAGCAAAAGGATAAGCCAACTGGCAAAATTGTGGCTTCACCAATATTTTCTTCAAATATCCTCTGTTCAACTTGACTTGCTTCAGTCCTACAGTGCTTCCAGCTTCCTGCTTTGCCCACGACAAAGTGCCCCATTAGGTTTCAGCCAGTCTCAAAGTACCTGCTCTGACAAACTGAATCAATAATGGGAAGATGATTTCCCCCTGATGTCACTCTTTCCCATCATTACCTGGGGGTGCAAAATAGCAAGTTCTCCAAGAAAGCTTTGCTTTCTTTTGTGATTTCCTGCGTGCACAGAGCCTAAACCTAGCCACTGGCAAAGATTCACCCGTTAAGCTAAATAGGATGGAAGATACTTGGGCTTTCTGGAGTGCTGTTTCAGTGGGTCCCAAATCTGATAGCATCAAGAAGTCCAACTAGCCCATTGCCTGCATCCGAACAAATCCATTGCCATCTCTGCTTTTGTCAAACATCTGTGTTTCAATGTAGCTGTTTCTTTCCAGAATGCTATAGAAGTTCCCATTGAGCTGGGACTTGGTGTTCCTTTTGTTTTCTTTTAGTGACTATTCCTGTACTTTTCCTTCGGCCAATGCATAGCCATGATCAGTAAAATATAAGGGTGAGACAAAGCCTTGGTTAGCAGTATCCAATCCAGATCCATGATTGCAGCGACCAGAGGGTTGTTGTTGTTGTTGCTCTTTTCTTTTTTCTTCTGCATGATAGCAGCTTCATCCTTATGATCAAATTTCCCATCTCTTGCCAAATCAGCCTGATGCTGGGGGATTCTGCCAACTGTGAAGAAGTAAAGCATCTGCTACCTTAAAATGTGTACATGTTTGCGTGTGTGGTTCAGAACCAGGTGACCACTCCTGACTTCTGAAGTCTATATAGAATAGACTATATAGAGTCTATACAGTGTAGTCCTGCACTCTAGACAAAACAGAAACAATGCATTCACACAACTGCCCCATGTTATATGAAGAGTACCGGTTTCTTCGTAGCCAATGATGTTGTCCCCCGTTGCAAGTTAATTCACAACCATTTTCAAATGTGTCACTGAATATAATTCTAAGCAGGTGGGTTAAATAAAACAAATCTGCAGAACCCAGCTTACTGTGGGTCTTATAAAAGATTTTATTAAAGTGTGGCTAATAATCTTTAGAGGATGATAGTATTTCACTACAGGACTGCGAGGAAAATAATTTATATTATGTAATATATCTGTGTATATTTTTAAAAAAAGTTAGTATAGAAAGGGATAGTAGAAATTGAGTAAATATCTGTAATATTTATCTGCAAACTTGGATTTTCAGAAGGATCTCATGTTAAATAACTTTGATGTATGTAATTTTTATGTTATCTGTTTTTAAGATATCCTAGAACTTGCTTTTTTTAAAAAGCCAATTCACTGGTATCGCCATGCACAAACACGCCTTCTCTCTAATCAGCCATATCAACTTGATTTAAAACACTTTAGCACTGTTCAAGGAGGTGGGTGGTATCATTTTATTTCATTTTTTAAAAAAACTATTTCTGACTGAGTACTTCCCCACTGTGTGCCTTTTCACCATTGCTCTCAGTTTTTCAGAACTGAGTGCTGTAACTGTGGGGAAAGGTGTTAAATGGCACAAAAATGCATTGGGATGTATATGTAGGCAGCTGAAGCTGGAAATGGAGATGGACTTGTTTGAAAGTCCCTAAAAGAACCTCAGTATTCATTGCAAATGACAGCTGCAGTCCTGCAGTGTACAAAAGCCAGGAGCACATGAAGATCAGAGTTTACCTGGCTTTTCTCCAAGTAACTTTTTCAGTGTCCCCCAAGTTGAAACACAGCATTTGAAGGTTCAGTGTAAACAATGCCAGAGGAAGACGTGCTGGGCAGCCCTGATGTATGCACACAGTTGTTCACTCACATATACTACGCTGTGATTATCTGGAAATGCCATTGGGCAGGAACATCCATCCATCATTAAGTGTACACCCATTATGAATGAAATTCCACATTTCGGATCATGCTTGTTGAGCAACGAGGTCTGTATTACATTCCTCATAAGGGACCACTGAATGCTTATGGAGCCCAAATAAGATTTAGAATCCTTGTGCTTGTGATCTTGCATATACATTCTACATGTTTGCTGCAATTAGTAGAAGATATACTGTTACTGAATAATATAAAATTAAGTAATTCATATGTCTGAAAGAGTTAAACCTGGAAGATATATGTTGGACTGCTCAGAAAAGATTTACCTGCACAATTGTTAACTGTTGTGCGCATTAATAAGACTGAACAAAGGACAGGGATATGTCCAGATAGTCACATTCTGGTTGAGCTGTTTTGACTTTTCCAATGGTGCAAAAGGTAGACATTTTGTGGCTCCCTTTCTTCCAAGTTTGACGCTTACTGATGAAGAAAGGGAAATTGCAAAAATTTCCACTCAGCAGCAACAGATTACTCTGTCTGATGGACTCCACTGAAGCTAGAGGTCCCCTCTCACCCCAGCTTTCCCTTTGTGTTCCTTGTTTAGAGGAGCAGTATGTTTCCAAACAGAGGAGGGAACATACTATATTCCTAGTCTTGGCAGGAATTTGGCACTTCCATAAAGACACTGAAACATTGAACGTCTTGGGACTGGTTCCCAGACGACTTTTGGAGAGACATCTTTCTGATATGTGCTCTTTATAGTTTTGTCTGACTAGGAATTAACTGCCAAGAACAGGGTTTGCAACTGACCAGAATTTCATCACCATGCATATTCAGAACAGCACATACTGAATTTAAGTTCTCCAAAATGAATGGGGCAGCAACCAGGGGTACCCTACTAAAGGTTACTGTCATTGCTGTGTAGCTGGGCATTACTGTGGCTATTTGTTGACTTTATTTCTTGATGAGAGGGTGCCCAGACCTAAGCCCCATTAAGATGAATAACTATCAGTGAACTCAGTTGATCAATGCACCAAATGAAGTGCTAGTAAATGTTAAACTTTGAGGGAGTGCAAATAACAACATTCCTGATACCCTTACCAAGGTCAAAAGACTGAAAGCAGGGAAGACTGTGTGTTCCCTTTCACCACCCTTTTCCCACTGCCATTTAACCACATGACGTGGTTATTCACAGTTAATGCTCAACAAGCATTGCTAGCCATCTTCAGATCTTCATTATAGTATTAATTAACTGTAAACGCTGAAATTTACCCATGGTTAAAGCTAGTAGAAATTCACATCTGACCAGCATAGGTAGGGCTGTGGGAATGGGAGGCCACCATCTCATAATTGGCTCCTCTTCCAACCATGGTTAAGAGACTGGGAGCGCTAGATTTCTATCAACCCTTAAATATGCTACAGGACTCAAGAATTTGCAATGATTGGCTATAAGATGATGCAAGATGTGTGAGGAATCAACAAGTTGTCACACACAAACCACATGTTCTTCCCATTGTAGCACTACACTAACCCCATGCTTATTTCTTATTGTTAGATTAGTAAACTGAAATAGACATATTTTAGGGTGAGGACAACCTGGATTATAGCCAGCTGTTCACAATTGTGCCAATCAAACTATATTGCATGAGCCAGGTTATCCCTCTGTCTTCTAAAGCCCTTGGATTTTTATATATTTGAAGACGTAATTGACCAAATGACTTTGTTTTCTGAATTAAGGCTGAATCATTGAGAAAGGCTATAAAATTGTTCAATGAATGCAAATGCCAGACAGAAAAGATCGTTGCGCTAAAAGGGAATAAAATAAAGCATATGCCCAACTGTGTGCATGCAGAGTCTTAAATCACCCCGGGTTAATTAGGGCTGCTCTGAAGGCACCCAAACTACATTTGAGTGCAAGTTCCAAAATTGTAGATGAAATACTACTGCTGATAAAAGTATTTTTTTTTCCTCCATTTTGAACAAATCTGGAAGTCACGCACCTTCTGTTCATAGGAAACTGACTGTAATGGTCACTGTCATTCAGCTGTGCATAAACTATTGTGAAATAAATACTTTGGAATAATTTGGGAGCTTGTTGGCCTTGTTTTGTGTGTATGGCAGTGGAAAAGCCATTTTTTTCACAGTTCTCATCCTAAAAGCATTAAGAATGAAGTCCAGTGTGTTTAGAAAAATCCTTTTAATCGTACAGCCTGCCCGCCTTAGCCTGGACACACCCAGTCGTAGACTTGTTGGTGACGCGTGGTGCCTCACAGCTGCTTTCCTGCAGCTTTAAGTTAGCCGTACAGATACATACAGCCACAGATACAAATAGTCTCAGAAAGTCTCTCTTATTTATTGGAGCTGCTTCTATGACATTTGTTATTCTAAGATCTCTAAGGGCACCATCTAATTAGCTCCAGTTCAGATGCATAAACTGAGACTAACCCTAAGACTCCAAAGGACAAGGGGAGGACACCCCTTTTCCTCCAGCCATCTCCCTGGAGAGGCATCCAGTACCGTTCTTTCCACGCAGGCTGCACGGAAGGTCCAGGCTAAGCACTCAGCCTTTGACATCCCAGCTCAGAGATCACAGGACCTCATAGTTGGGTTCCAATAATCCTATAGCCTCCCAGACAACATTGGGAGTCTAGGGGATCACTTCCTAAGTTGTTAGCATCAAATTATATACGATATAAAAATCAATGTAAAAATAATATAGAGGAATATTACAGTAATAAAAGTAGAATAGAGCAATGTCATATTTGTTCATAAGTCAGAGGAAGCTTGCATGAACAAAGCTCATCAAAGCATTTAGAACTTGCCAGTTTCCATCCTTTGAGCCACATGTGCATAGCATTCCAAATGGTCCATGCCACTAACCAAGAAAATCCATTATGTGCCATTACCCAGCAATACAATGGTACCTCAGCTCACAAACGCCTCAGCTCACGACCAAATCGGGTCGCTAACAAAAATTTCATATAAATTGGGTGGCGGCCATGATCGTGCTGGGGGTGGGGGGAGATGGCCGAGATCGCACTCGTCTTTCCTGCAGGAGCACAACTGCAATCCCAGCCATCTCGCCCCCGCAGCACAATCGTGCCCGTCCCTCCCTCCCCAGCGCACCCGCGGTCGTGCCCATCTCCCCCACCTCCAGCATGCCAGGATAATGGGTGTGTGCAGGGATGACGGGCGCGATTGCAGTCGTGCTTGGGGGGGGGGGGGCAGGAAGATGGCTGCATTAGTGCCCAGGGTGGGGGGAGGGGAGATGGCCGCAATCTTTGTTGTTGTCACTTTGCTTCACATTTTTCTGATTAAAAAAATAGGTACAGAACGGATTCACCTAATTTACATTGGACCTTATGGGGAAATTTAACTTGGCTCACGACCAACCTGGGTCACAACCAGAGTCCTGGAATGGATCAAATTTGTGAGCCAAAGTACCACTGTACTGCATAAATACGTAAATAAACCACTATAGGTTAGCTGATGGTTTCATCTAGATCTGATTGTCTTTAAATCCAAACTCTACCAATTTTGAAAAAAAGGGTGAAGTGGAAAAAATACTGTAATACCTCTCTGCTTTTGCCCACATTGTCTTCAGCATCTGTTCCACACATGTAACAAGCTTCCAAAAAGTGTTTTTACTTAATGTTCTCATCTGCATGCTGTTGCATACTTAAATAACTGCATATTTAGTCATATATGCACATCTATATTAGCATTCCAGCCTGAATTTGACATGGTTTAATGGGGAAATGTTGGGACAAAAATATTGCATTACTTTCATGTATAATCTGCCTGAGTGGCTCACAATGAATTGCACATTACTTTCCTTTAACAATTCCACATTAGGAAAAAAAAATAAGACTGGCTTTTGAGAAATGGTGCAATCTAATTTATTAGGTAAAAAGTAGGGTGACTAGGGCGAAGCCTCATTGATTTCAGTGAGACTTTTACATATAAATGCACAAGGTTGTACTTGTATGAAGCTTAATGCCAGAACCTCTAGTTAAATGTAAGCTTTTAAGTGAAAGAGTTTTAGGGTTTCTGAAGCAACATCTCTGTTGAGCAAATGTAATTATAGCAACCATGCACCAGTAAAATAATTCACTCTGATTTGTTTTATGGCTGCATCTGACAACACGCCAAGTGTAATCAGGGCAATTTATCATCCTAGAAGTAGAGAACATGTTTATGGAAATGAGGAGCTAGGATTTTGTTCAGGTTAAACAGCTCATGCGATCAACCACAAATTGTTAGGAGAAAAAATAATGTAAGATGTACACCACTACTTCCTATGGCTGCAAGGAATTGGAAGCATGTGGTTACAACACCACAGCACCTCTTCTGTCCATGGGATTAAAATTTGTCACCACGAGGACTAGAAACAATGCAGCCTCCAGGTTTTTGAGGCCTTGTGAACAGCACGCCTTCCACTGTCCCCCACCTGCAAGGCGTCCACCTTCTCCCCACCATGGTCACCAGCTGGTATTGCTCCTCTCTCGTCACAGCTACTGCTCGCTGCCTTGACAGACAAGAAGTCCAGTGGGCGAGTAGGCAGTGGCATCTCCTGGGCATCCTTTTCCTCATCACCCCCTTGCCTGGGTCAGTTGAGAGGCAGGTGAGTAAACCAACTGCAGTACTTGAATGCCCCTCAGCAAGTGCCTGCCCACGCCTACCCTCAGTGCTGGTCCTGACCTGACGTTTCATCCTATTTAAGGGAATACTAGCATTCTCTATTTTATCAAAGTGACTGATGTAGTGGGTGGGGGTTAATTTGTGGAACACCTCAGCAAAAAGATGACGTGTCTTGCTAAGATTCTCCTATTCTTCAATAAAGGTCCAAGGGTTCAATGTCCAGGCTATTGAAAGCTAATAGGAAATAATATTCTCACACCAATAACAGGAATCCACTTTTGCCCAGTGGGATGAGAAATGAAGGTAAAGTATTATGTGGAATGGGAGATAAGGAAAGGGGTAAAGATTTAGTCCACTTATATGATGTATTTCCTTTAATGAGTTCATGTTTATGACTCTCCCTACAACAATCCCATGAGAATATGGCTGGAAAGGGACTCAGTGGCTGAGAGATATCCTGCAGCTTCAGGGCTCAGTTGGGATTTTAACCCTCTGTTCTAGTCCAACAGTCACCCGTTCCATGATCCTGCTTCACAGCATGGTACAAATGGGTTGTTTTCAGATCTATGGCTGTTCCAATATTTGGTTCCCTAATCTTGTTTTCTTTATCAGCAGCCAATTGTAGCAATGGGACTAGTTATTTTCTTGGGTCTCAGATGCCTTTGTCAGCACAAATTCCTTCATTCAGTTCCGCAGAACTCGGATTGCGCAGTGGGCTATTCATCATAGACCAGTAATTGCAGCACAGGGGAGTGCTTTCCAAATGGGAACATTTAAACATTCACAATGTCCGATCAGGAAAATGAATTCTCCTGACCCATCTGTAGTCCCTTCTCCCCACACTGGAACTGAGAGGGGGGAAAGAGCTGCAGGCAACAGCAGCTTTTTAAAAATAAAAGGTAAGACTGGGTATCATGGTCAAGGGAAGAGAAAAGGGTCTTGGGTACAGGACTCATATTTCTATTCATGGAAAAAGGGCTGGGAATTACCACTGTATCAAATGTGCTTTCTCTATCTAGGAAATCCCACACCCTCTACTTATATACTGAGCTTGCCCTACCCATCTCTGACAACATGCAACTTACTTTGATAAAATACAGAAAACTTAAAATGCACAGGATAAGGGCTTAGTCCTACAGATAGGGAGGGGTTCATGCTGCCTCCAAAATATCTGTCTAGTACTAAGTATTGTTGATCTGGGCTGTTAAGGAGAAGCATATATTGGGGTTCAAACCGCTGGATATAAAATTTGCAGCTCTTACATGTTTTCTGCCAGATGTTTGCCACTTAGCATTTAATGCATTGTTATTGACAGAAGCATGAGAGATACTCATTTAATAGAAGTAATTTAACAATCTATCCATGAGATCATAACTATTTATCCATCTAGCCCAGGTACTGTCTACTCCAACTGGCAGCTGATCTCTAGGGTCTCTCCCAACTGTCTTGTCATCATCTTCTACCTGGTCATTACAACTGGAGAAACCAGGGGTTGAACTTGCAACCTTCTGCATGAAAAGCACATGCTCTCATGCTGTCCTTCCATACTTCCTCCAGAAGCTTTCAGTGGTCCCCAATTTCTGAAGTTGCCTACCCTAAAAATACAACATAGGTTTTAAAAAATCATGTTTCCATTGAGATTTTTGGTTCTTTATTTAAAACTATTTCAGTTCATTTTTAGCAATTCCGCCTGATAAAGGAGTCAGGATTTAAATTAAATTAAGATGACTAATACAAAATGTTTATCCAGTGTACAGGGACACTAACAGAATATTCTAGGACTCCTTACCACTGTGCAGCCTATCAGCAAGAACTGTTCTTTATATAGCTATATTACATAGGTGCAGAACTGCACCATACCAATTTGGTTAGTTTTTAAAAAACATTAATATTGATAAAAAAATACAAAGGACATTATAAAATATAAAAAACCCCACAAGATACAACCCCCCCCCCCCATATATATATAACAATTAGTGCACTACTCCACCAGGTATAATATTTTTTTCCTTCCATCCTTCGCTGCTGCTTCTTTGCTTCTAGCTCTAACTTTCCACTCTTTCAGGAATGCCCCCTTCCATCCAAATTGCATTGAATCAGCCGAAGGTTTAATACCCTTCCCTTTTATTAGTACATATTCAATAATCAAACCTCATATAGGTTAGTTTCTTTTTAATCCTTGTTATTGAATGAAAAATGCCTAATGTGTTAATTTCTTCCTGGGAGTTCATTATGTTTTATCAGCTGCTGAGCTTTGAATAGATGGACTACATCTAATCCACTGTATGATATTCACCTTTATTTTCCAGTTCTTTGCTATTATTCTTACCTGTTTTCTTTCTATCTTTATTTTCTTTCTTTTTTAAAAAATATGTACCTAAACAAACAACATTCCTGGTTAACATAATTAAACAATACATTAATATCAGTGCTACCTCTACCAGGACCAACTACTCTAGTTACTTAATGTAAGAACATTTGTTCATTCCGGTGGTCCCACTTCCCCTCCAAAAATACATTGACTCTTGTGGTGGTTCTCAGCTGACTCGTATAAATTAATCTGGAATATTTAATTTTATTTAATTTTAATAAAACATTTTTATCCCATCTTTCACTAAATGTCTCAAGACGGCTTACAAAAACATAATTCACAACATAAAATCCACAACAAAAAAGTACAATCAATAGTACAATAGATAATAATTATGATAAATACAATCAGTAATAATACCATCCAGTTAAACCGATAAAAATGAATTAATCACATTCATAAGGAAAATAAGGAAAATATAGCTATTAATGATAAGTGGACTTGTGATATTAAATGGAAAAAAGGTCTGATAAGTGAAAACAAGTTTGAAAATATTTAGAGACCTTTTATTGAATATGTTTTAATTTAAGGAAGGGCTGTTTTTCTTTCCTAACTGGCTCCACGTAATTTCTTACAAACTTGAAGATGCCACACCATGTTCCAATTTGCTTTCTTCCTCGCCCTCGCCACTCTGTTCAGAATTGCAGGAAGGAGAACAGAGACTAGCTAAGCACCCCGATTTTCTTTGATTGGACTTGGAAGCGCTTGCACTGCCCGGGAAGGCGCCGCAGCTGCGAGTAGGCCGCGTTGCCACGGAGATGACTGGGGGGAATGTGCCAAGCTCAACGCGCGCCCCGCTTTACTCGCTTCTCCGGCCCAGCGCGACGTCCGCAGACGCAGATTCCACGCACGGCCACCTCCGCACCACACCGAGGAAGTGAAAAAAAATACCCACGCCAGGAAAGTAACATCATAAAGTTTCCCCCACTCCCCCAAAACCTGGTTCACCGGCCCTGTTTCCCCGTAAAAATCGTAATTTTAAGCAGCTCTACTCAGAAGTAAGGCCCGCTGTGTTCAGAGGGGCTTACTCCCAAGTGAGTGGCTAATGGCAGCAAATGGGTGCAAAACTGTGCCTGTTTAGACTGGGGAAAATTGCTAAAGCTCCCAGAATGCCCCAATGGCTAATAGGATTGTAGCATATGCTACAATTCTATACATGCTTAGACTGGGAAAGGCTACAGCTCCCAGAATGCCCCAATGGCTAATAGGACTGCAACACATGGGTGCAATCCTGTGCATGCTTAGTCTGAATTCTGGAAGCTGTAGGACTTTTTTTCCATCCAAAAATGGACAGGATTGCGCCCTAGGCCTCGTTACTATTCCCCGTTCTCTGGACCCCTTCATAGGGTCAGCGTTTGGTTTTGTTCCCAGCAGAGGCAGTAGAGCAACCAAATTCCCAAGGCAGGGGGGAAATGCTCCTTTCCACGACCCCGCCCCCCCCGGCATCTCTTGCGCCCCCCCCCCCCCCGCCAGGCGCCCCTCACCCGCCTCTGGGCGCCCCCGCTTGCACGCGCTCGCCGTGCCCGGGCGCGGCCCGGATCCTGCAGCGCTCGCCTGCCAGCATCCTTCTCCCTCTCTGTCGTCCTCTGGTTTCAGCGGAGCGCGCTTCTGCGGGCTGGAAGGCTGGCCCAGCAGGAGAAGTAGGGGAAAGGGGAGTGACGAGGGAGGGGAAAGCCCGATTGCAACACCGGGGAAATATAACGAGACCTTCAGCCTGACCCTCTCGAGAGGCGGCGAGGAAAAGCCAGTCCCGCAGCAGCCATGGCCCTGCTCAGAGGTAAGGCTCCGATGCGGGTCTTCATTTCGAACGCCGCCTGCTACGCCGCGCTCGTTTTCTTGCACTGGATCTTGCGAACGTGCCCTCCTTCCTCCGCAGTTGTGGGCGCAGCGTGGTGCACACGTTTCCTGCGCACTTACACGCACGGTGCCCACGTATGAAAGTCAGAAGAGGGACGGGTCCATCTCGTTCAGTCTTCTGTTCACGTGGTGGCCCAGGGGGTTCCGCAGGCAGGACACGAGTGACAGCACCATCCCGCCCATGTTCCTCGCTGGAGTACATAGGCCCACTGTCTCTGATACTGGACGTAGCACATGGCCACGAAGACTAGCAGCCATTGGTGGCTTTCTCCTCCATGAATCTGCCCAGTCCCCTTTAAAACTGCCCAAACTGGTGTTCATCCCCAAAGCATATTGAGAATTTCTAATTTCATGTAGCTGTTATGTCCTGCTTTTTTCTTGCAAGGAATGGGAGCAGCTTAACCAATTCTCCCCCTCTCCACCTCTACTTTCACTACCACTCTGTGAGGTATGCTAGGCAGAGAGTTAGCCACTGGCCAGGGTCCCTGAGTAAAGGTTATGGTATTGTGGGGACTAGGCTTAGACCTTGACTATACACTGTGCATAAAAGTAGCTAAGAGTAAATCCTGCCAGATGAACCTTACGGAATTCTATGGCAAGGTCTCGAGGTGGCTAGATGGAGGGGACGCAGTTGATGTGGTTTACCTAGATCTCAGCAAGGCCCTTGACAAAGTGCCCCATGATATCCTGGTTGAGAAATTGAGCTTTGGAATGGATCAATGCACTGTTCCATGGATTAAGGCATGCTTGACAGACTGCAAGCAGAGGGTGGCTGTCAGTGGGGAATCATCAGGGCGGCAGCCGATGACGAGTGGAGCCCCCCAGGGTTTAGTTCTGGGACTGATTCTGTTCAACCTTTTTATGAATGACGTGGAAGAAGGGATAAGCAGTCTGCTGACTAAATTTGCAGATAATACCCAAGTGGGGGCGGTGGCCACAACTGAGGATCAGGTGATCCCCATCCAGAATGATCCAGACAGGCTGTGGAAGTGGTTGGGTGACAACAGGGTGGCATTCAGTGTGGATAAGTGCAAGGTCTTGCACTTGGGACACAGGAATAGGTGTCACAGGTACAGCCTGGAGGACAAGTGGCTGGAGAGCAGCACTTGTGAAAGGGTACTGGTTGACAGCAGGCTGAACATGAGCCAGCAGTGTGACACAGCAATTAAGAAGGCCAGTGCCACGAGGATGCATAGGCAGAAGCATGGCTTCCAGATCTAGGGAGGTGTCAATACTGCTGCACACGACTCTGGTGCACCTACAACTGGAGTACTGTGTCCAGTTTGGGCTCCACATTTTGGGAGAGACATAGCTAGGTTGGAATCAGTTCAGCACAGGGTCACAAGAATGGTAGCCAGGTTGGGAGGGATGACATATGAGGAGAGGTTGAGGGAACTGGGTCTTTTCAGCCTGGAGAAGAGCAGTCTCCGAAGGGATCTTTTAGCAACTTACAGGTATGTGACAGGATGTCTCCCTCTCCTCGGGCCTATGTATTCCCTGAGACACAACGCAGTTGAAACCCTGAAGTCGCTTCTCAGTGTTTGCATCAAAAGCTAGAAATGATTAAGCTTAATGAAGAAGGCATCTCAGAAAGTAAGACTGGTTGAAAGCTAGGCCTCTTGTGCCAAAGTTAGCCAAGTTGTTAATTTTGATATACACTGGGAAACCAAAAACTTCATGTGACTCACTCTATTGCAATATGCACTTTATTGTGGTGGTCTGGAACCAAACCTGCAATATCTCCAAAGTATGCTTGTAGTAACTCTTCTGTTACTAGCAAAGAGGTGTGGTAGCTTGGAAAATAGAGATTTCTTCATCCCACACCTGAATAAGGTGGAGTTAGTATAGGCGGGCTAAGTGAACCATTCTGAGCTACTCTTTGCCAAAAATAACAACATGAAACAAAAAAAAGCTTCCAGCCAAAAATCCAGTTAATGTTAAACCTGATGCTAACATTTAGATTACAGATCAGTAGAACTCAAAGACTGTAACAGTTTCTCAGATGGGAAATGATTTAGTAATGATCATTTTTAATTTATTTGTACTTCAACTTGATACCAAGGAAATGGCAGCCAAGGTAGCCTAATACTTTAATGTAGCACTTTGCCTATATTATCTTAATCAGCTTTGTAAGGTAAGCACAGTAAAGAGCATTGTTGGTGTGGGATAGTGGCAGGGAATGTGAACTGGCAAACCCTGATTCAGATCTAGACCACTGGACTGGAATGCAGGAGATCCTATTCTTATTTATTTATTTAAAACATTTATAATCTGTTCTATAACCAGTCAGGATCTCAGGATGGCTTACACAAAAAAATATAAAACAACAGTAACAGAATAACAAAATTTGCAACAGCACTTGAATAAAATTGCAATGTAAAATATAAAATAAAATCATACTAATCATTAAAATACTGGCCAGGTTTCGGCCTGGCGCTGTGTTGGTGCCATGCTCACCTCGGGTGAGTGGGTTCCACAGTCAGGGTGCTACCACTGAGAAGGCCTTTCCCCTAGTAGCCAGTCTTCTAGCCTCTTTCAAACAGGCTCCTGGAAAACGACCTTGAAGGATGATCTTAAGGTCCAGGCTTGAGACATTCCCTCAGCTATCTGGGACCTAAATTGTTTAGGGCTTTATACATCAACATTAACACCTTAAATCAGGCCCGGACTTCAATTGGTAGCCCACAAAGATGGTAAAGGACTGGCATTATGTGATCTGGTCTCCCAGTCCTAATTAGCAGCCTACCTGCTCTGTTCTGTACCAGTTGAATCCTACAGGCTGTACCCCTCACTGCTCAAAGTCCCTGAAATTAGATGCTTCTGAGATTCCTGTGCTCTGCCAGCCTGGGCCCAGCTGTCAGAAGGATCATTGCCTCCCCTTTCTCCAGGCTCCAGTATTTTCACCAGATGTATTTTTCAGCCTGGCTGGGTGAGGATGCTTTGGAGGGGTAGGAAGGTGGAGGAGAAAATGCAGAATGACCAAGAGGTACGTCTTGGCCTCTCTGGTCTGCTTCCTTCCCTGTCTACCGGAATCCCCATTTTTGCCCATCTCCAAGGCAGCCCTTCTGGGCTTGGAGAGGCAGCAACACAGTTCTGTATGTTATAGGTGTGAGGAGACATGGGACAGCTCCCGGTCACCCTCTCCCAAGGTTGGAGCACTGTCTGGGGCCTGGAAGGGGCTATGTGAGCCATACCGTGGCCCCTGGGATGCTTGCTCAGGGGCCAGGGACATTGGTTCTTTGAATGAGAATACTGCTCAGAATGTATTCCTGCAGTATGTTAGCAGCTATCCACTAGCAGAACAGGAATCTCTGCCTCTTTCCTCCTGCCTGTTCCCCTCCTCACCATCCAAAAGTCTGTTCAGGACCTTTTCTCATCTCTCTGGAGCAGATTCTGCAGGTGTGCAGGGAGTTCCAGGGCAAAGCAGCAAACTGATGCCATTGCATGAAACTCACTGGCTGTAAAATTTGAATTTCATTGTGCCTTGGTCCATCTTCCTCGCAGCAGCAGAAAATATGAATTCTAGGCAGGTTCAGGGCCCTGGTTCCTCTCTTCTTCAAAATAAACAACGATCCCCCACCATACAGTAAACCTAGTTTACCTGCAGGAAATGTGGGGATTGTAGTCTTGTGAGGCTGCTAACAATTGGCTGTCAGATTTCTTCCTGGATTCTTTACGTTGTGCAACTGCTTGTTGGGCAGAAGCAGAGAAGGGGTTGGTGCCTTTCCCTACCACCTACATTATTCATCTGCCAAGCCGCAGACTATGCTAAGTCCACTTGAAAATCAGCCTGCTGCTAAAGGTTAATAATAATAATAATAATAATAATAGTAGTAGTAGTAGCAGTAATAATAATAATAGTAGTAGTAGTAGTAATAATAATAATAAGTTGCTTATTGTGGGTCCAAAGTCTGAGAGAGGCATCTGGCTTTGCCTTCTGAGGAGCCGTGTCGAAAGACTTCGGCCATCTCAGGAAGAGCCAAGAAAGATTTAATGTTCTTCCTGGGTGGATTTTTCCACCCCCGAATGGTGCAATGCTAGATCAGCAGCCAACCAAGTGTCCGTGAGAAACCCATGAGCCAGACATGAGAGCACTGACACCCTTCCACTTGTGCTCCTAGCAACTGGGATTGAGAGGTATTGTTATTGCCCCGGACACTAGAGGTAATCTTTAACCATAACGACCAACAGCCATTGATAGCTTTATTCTCCATGGATTTGTCTAATCCCTTTTTAAAGCCTTCCACTGGGGTAGTCACCCTTTCTGTGAAGAAACAGAGCTGTTCTCGCTCCTTGTGTTAAGCTTGGTTTTAGGATATTATGGAGTTAAATATTTCTGGGGGAAATGTCTCAGAGAAGGAGTCTGCAGCTCCGTGTCTTCCAGTTTTACTGGACTTGGTTAACTAGGTATACCCACTGAACTAGCCAGGACAGAGTTCCGTACAGAGAAATCATACACTGGAGATAAGAGCATGTTCTTCTGAGGGTGGGGCTTGGAATCCAAGCTCCACCGCCTGGAGAAATCCTGGAAGGCACCATGGGTTGGATGGGCAACCTCCATAAACTGGGTTCGGCCTGCCAGCTGAAAGTTGTACTTCTCTGGTTAACAGAAATACTTGCTATTGTCTCAAAAAGTTAACACATGTGGAATGCATAACCTCAGATCTAGGCTGGAGGCAGGTCCTGGAATCAAATATGTCCCTCTGGTTTTGTCCCAGAAAGCACATATCACATCCCCAATATTTGGTGGTTTACAATCTTTTATACTTATTTTTCTCCATTCTACAAGGTTTGATATGTCAGATCCTTCAGATCCACCCATCCCTGAGAACTTCTCCAAAATTAAAATGAAGCTTTCAGGCTAAAAGGATTTCCGCACCCCCAGCGTATACCAACATAAATTTCTACATAATGTATCATTTACATTACATTCCAACTTAACTCAATGTTTAGTGTAGTTTAATTTTTCTCCTTCAATTATTTCAGGGCAAAAGCTTGTTATAAATGGGACAAAATTTTATACAGGGTACTTTTAGCTCTACACACACACACACACACACACACACACGCACATATATAAAACTATTTTTTAAAATTTGCAGTAGCTGAAGCTCTCTGGGCAGTTCACAACAAATATATGTGACATAAAATCTATTAAATTAGATCATATAAAATTGCATGCAAGTTAACCTCATTTAAATGGAGAATGAATCTAGCTCAAAATTTTCTGGAAAATCTCAATCATTCTAGCCTTTGGAGGAGAGAGTGGCCACTGTGATCAATGGGAATAGATTTGCTTCCCCAGTCTAGGAATTTCTGTAACTTCATGGGGAGGAGAAGCGGGTTGTAGATCAGAAATATAGATGTGTACACTTATATACACCTATATATGTACTTTTGTGGGTGGGTGGTGGTTTGCTTGTTTGTAATCCGGGGGGGGGGGGGGGGGGGGGGGGTTTGCGGCGGGGGGTGGTTTTTGCACAGAATTCTGGGGTTGTGCCTGTGCATGCAGAAGGTCCTGGGCAGGCCCAGGCATCTCTAGCTAGACTGGGAATGGCTCCTATCCGAACCCCTGCAGTGCAGAGCAAAATGGGTTGGTGGCCTGACTATTTGTGTTCCACCGTCTGCATTCTAGGTGTGTTCATTGTTTCTGCCAAGAGGACCCCCTTTGGGGCTTTTGGAGGCTTGCTCAAGGACTTCACCGCCACAGACCTCACGGAGATAGCGGCACGCTCAGCCTTGTCTGCTGGCAAAGTGTCTCCTGAAATTATCGACAGTGTGGTTGTGGGCAACGTCATGCAGGTTGGTAGAATCTAGACATTTCCCTTGGCCCGTCCTCTGGTTACACGCACAGTCATCTGCTTTCTGTTTCTGCCTTTGCACGGTTGCCTCATTTCAGAAGAGCCAGAAATAAACTTGGTACATTTGCAGCTGCAGCACGTCAATGCCCAGCAGTTTCCTTTGGAGTTTTTGTGTCATTGAATTTGCCTCCACTCACTTTACTGGGAGAAGGAGCAGGGTAGATACAATCTTAAGCATTACCAAATGTGTTCCTGCTCCTTTATAATTTATATTTATATCTATCTTCTGCGTGCAGTAACAAGCCAAATACAGACATAATCTTCATAAAGTGAGCACTGAAGGTCTTGCCTGAATAGTATGAACTAAAGACAAATGTTAAAGTCTTTTACCCCACCTATAAATAACAATTTATTCTAAGATGTCAATTGGTGTTCCCTATGATCTTAATTCCTCCATAAAACTGGCTGTCATCATGACTGTGAGGGGGGACCAGCTTACCTTTGTGTCCTCCTTTCAGACGTCTATTTGGATTCAGAGGAAGGCTATTTTCTTCCTTGTTTTTCAGACTCTTACTTCATTGGTTTATGACTTTAAAATACTTTTGAAATCATATGGGAAGACTCTTGTATCATTTTGGTTTCTCCATGCACTGAATTATGCTCCCCCAAGCCCTGTGTACTAGAAGCCATGGGTGATGCTTTGCCTTGCCACATCTATTTTGTGAAGGGGTCAGTTGATTAGTTGGATGCTACCAGAGCCTCCATTTTCCTCTGGGTAGGAAAACCTGGAGCTATGTGCTAGTTATCTTTTTGGGATCAGGCACTGACCAGCTGAAAGCCCCTGAATATGGGCAGGCACCCTGCTTCCCTCCTGCTTCCTCTGGAGCAAATGTGTTAGGTGAGCCATGGAAGCAGATTGGGAAGGAGAAAGAAGCCTCTCTGGAAATCGCCAGAAACTCACTCTCAGAACTCAGGTCCAAAATTTTTATTATTTATTTATTTATTTATTTATTTATTTATTTATTTATTTATTTAAACATTTTTATGCCGCCCCATTCGCCGAAGCCTCAGGGCGGCTTACAACAATAAATTAAAATAATTATAATCTTAAATTAAAAAATATAAACATTAGCTTAGAAATACAAAAATACAATATAAAATAAGCCACCCTGGCCAGATAAAATTCAATAATATTAACATTTAAAATGCCGCTTAAATAAAAAGGTCTTTGCCTGGCGCCGAAAAACAAATAACGACGGCGCCAGGCAGACCTCTCTGGGGAGCGCATTCCATAGATTGGGCGCCACCGCAGAGAAAGCCCTCCTCCGAGTACCCACCCTCCTAATTTCTTTCACGGAGGGTTCCCGGAGAAGGGCCTCTCCCACCGATCTCAGGGGGCGGCTGGGCATATATGGATGTAAGCGCTCCTTCAGGTAAGCAGGACCCAAGCCGTTTAGGGCTTTATAGGTCATCAATGAGAGAGAGATTCATTTAAAGAATGGAAGATGAGACTAAAGGGAACTTAAGTGCTTACATTAGTGATGTGAGTGGTGCTTACAATGTAGGGAGCACCTGGAGAGTTAAAGTGCTTACAGCATCTTTGGGTGGTCACAGGATCTAGATTCTCATTCAGAAGATGATATTTCAATGGGATTGAAGAGCAGGACTTTGCTCAAGCTTCTAGGATGCCACAGGGGTGGAGATGCTGGCAATTAGCTCAATGGCAAAAAGGGGGCAGAGGCAAATACCGACCCTGGGAAGATTGAAGCAGATACAGGAGGAGGGAGTGGCCAAGGAGACCAGTAACACTTCAAATGGAGACCAGCTCTTCCCTTCGGATCTGGCTCCCGTGGCCAGGTGACGACAAAGGCAGGAAGCTCAACTGGTTGAGAAATGGATGGAAAGGAGGTATGCTTGTTTTCAAAGTGCCCCTCCCCAAGGGTTTGGAGATAAATGAGCTCAAAAGGAGAGTTTTGGGAAGTGATTGCTAGACTGGATTCAACAGATCACTTTGTGCATGCTCAGAGACTTGGCTAGATGAATTTCATGTAGAAAAAATACAAGAAGTTTTCCTAAGAAATGGCTCAAGGGTGGTGACTGCTGGAGGGAGGAAGTGTGGCTCATGACATAGAGAACCATATTTCTGTTTTATTAAGTTTCTTTGTGACTAACAGACATGTGTTCCCAGTCTGAGAAGTGGCACATTGTCACCTTCTGCCTCTTAGACTGGAAAGGGTTAATTAAAAGGAGATGGCTTTGGCTGGCTCCGGTAAACTCGATACACCAAAATCCTTCCTGGTTTGCAGATAAGGAAGCTGCCAGGAAGATGCGTGTTATATCAAGTGGTTTATGGATAACAGCATTCTGTTGGGGTGCCTGTACTTTTAGAGGAATCAACACTGAAGGGTAGCTCAGTGTTGCAACATCTGAAAATATACAAATTTATTTATTTATTTATTAAAACATTTCTATGCCGCCCCTTGCCGAAGCCTCGGGGTGGCTTACAACACAATAAAATACAATAAAATACAAAAATAACAATATAAAATTAACAATATAAAATAATATATAATATATAATAATATATAAATAATATAAAAAATTAACAAATGAGAGCCAGTGTGGCGTAGTGGTTAAGAGCACGGGACAGGGAGTCAGGCAATCTGGGTTCTAGTCCCTGCTCAGCCATGGAGCCACCGGGTGACTTTGGGCAGCCACGGACTCTGGGCCCAACCCACTTCACAGGGTTGTTGCTGTGAGGATAAAATTGAGAGGGGTGGGTGGGTAAGCTGCTTTGAGTTCCTTGAAAGAAAAAATGTGGAATATCCATCTAATAAATAAATTTAGGAACCATACCTGAGCTCTCTGAGACATAAGTAGCAAACTACATGGTCTTGTGCACATTAGCTACCTTAAGAATGTTAAAAAGTCACTGCAGTAGATGGACAGTCCAGCCAGTACTGTGTTTTTGGCAAGTATCCCAGCAGGCACTCGGTCCATGGAAATTAGCCAGTGGGACATGATCTGCCATTAAACCTCGCAGTAGCCCTTTGTACAGTCATCCTTGACTTTTAAAAGTCCTTCAGATTTCCATACAGCCTCATCCTGTTCTTGTTTAAACAGAAGTTGGTGTCCATCCGCTCAACAGAGCTTGATCGCAAGCAAGTGTAAAAGATGGCGTCTGTGCAGCCCAGTCCTGTGCATTTTTACTCACTTCCAGGGGTGCACAGGATTGCAGTCTTGGTGTTACATGGCTCCCTTGCGTTCAGCAGAGTTGGCTGAGCAGCTTGTCCGTCCTCTCTTTGCAGACCTCTGCAGATGCTGCCTACATTGCAAGGCATGTCGGTTTGCGTGTCGGAATACCAATCCCAGTTCCTGCACTGACAATCAACAGATTGTGTGGGTCAGGCTTCCAGTCCATCGTCAACGGATGCCAGGTACTAGATCCTGTTCTGTCAGCGATTAGTTATAATGCCTGGTTGCTTGGATCCTCCATTGGCCAAGTTGACCTGTGTAGGTAAGCTGACATGTGTCTCAAACACACACACACACACACACACACACACACACACACACACACTGTCTCTCTCTCTCTCTCTCTCTCTCTCTCTCTCTCTCTCTCTGTTTGTGTGCATGTGTGCTATTTGCTCCTTGCCTTGCATAAAGACTGGAGTTTTTTAAATACATGGAATTGACTTATTCATGATTTGTTTACTGTCTGAATTATTAGTGAAGTACCCAATCTGGGGCAGGTAACAAAACAAATATGCAAAGCAATTGAGCAGAATAAAATCCATTGAGTTCATTTCCCCACTGTTGCCTGGCTTATAAGCACCAAAGTTCAAACACCCAAATATATGGGTGTTGAAACACTTCCAAAATGTGCTTAGACCTTTGAGTCTACAGCGGCATGGTGTTCCAAAACTGAAGGGGAGAAGCATCCAGAGCTGCCTCTCCATGCATTCTTGGTGTCTGCACACAAAGACATAAAAGTCCTGCTGTATAGGACCAGTGGTCCGTCCGCTTACGCACATCCCTCACACGGTGGCAAACCAGCTGCCAGCAAGATCGCTCAAGCAGGATGGGTGCAAGAGTTCTGCCAGCCCAAACTCCCCTTCCCTGCCCTTCCTATGCAGTTTATTCAGAGATATCGTATCTCACTGCTTCTCTGCGTTTCACCAGGTTTTTGCAATGCACACAATATCTAGGTCTTCCTTTAAAACCAGGCCCTCCAGCTCTTCTGTTTTGGCTCTGAGGCTTCTAGCATTTGCACAGAAACACCTAAACACCGCTCTCCTACATTATAGCAATCAGAAACCGTTTCCCTCTTCATCCTGGAGGGGTAATTTAACCTGAACCAGATGTTTCCCAGCTCCGGTCAGCTCTCCCCCAGAGATCAGTTTAAAAGCTGCTCTGCCACCATTTTTCTGTCCTGCATCAGCACTCTGCTTCCATTTTGGGTCAAGTGTTGTCCTTTCCAATTGTACAGGCCCAGCGTGTCCCCAAATGTTCCCCAGTGCCTAACAGAGGAGGAGCAGCCCCTCCTCTCTACACTCCCATCTCATCCACACGCTGAGACTCCTCAGCTGTACCTGCCCAGCTGCCCCTCTACGTTGTCTGTCCTAGATTTCATCTTTTTACCCAGCAAACTAAACTTGGCCTCCAGGACCTCATACTTAGTGCCAACGTGGACCAGGACTGCTGACTCCACTCCCGCACTATCTGCAAGGCTATCTAGACATCACGTGATAAACAGAACCTTTGCGCCGGCCAGGCAATTAACTACGTATTCTATAAACACATTGCAAACCTAGCCAATCTGTGTCTGTCTAATGGTTGAATCTCCCACTACCAGGAGTCCCCCACCCCCACCCCTGCAGCCAAATCCTCAAGACAATAGGATAAACACTCACTGTCCAAGGAACGGTTCCTTTCTAGGGATCATTTCTCTTTCCTCCGAAGGAAGCCCTCCTTCCTGAGAGCCCCAGTTGTGAAGGATGACTTGGAAGCATAATGCAACCTGCCTTGTTTGGGGTTCCACTCTCTGCCCCCTCCGTTAGGCTGTCCTTCGGTCTGGGCACTGCACAGCCCTCCAAGGAAGTGGATCAACAGGATGAAAACAGTGTGTTGGGAAGGAGCAGAAGACTAAAAGGTGGAAAGGGAAGGGGAAAGTCACAGAATAAGGGAAGGAAACAGTCAAAGAGACAGGCAACCAGAACGCAGCCTACTTGGGGGGGGGGGGGACAAAGAGGGGTGCACAACTTCTTCAGTGCTGCATTTTGACCAAAAATGATAATGACTGACCCTGGGGCAATGGGGTTCTTAAGAAAGAAAGTCCAGCAAAGTTGACCAGCAAACACCCCTGGTCAGTTCCCAGTCCAGAGGGAGGCAAGAGCACATATTATCCCTCGTATTTTAACCCCCATCCTCACCCATCCAGTCCTTGGCTCACCTGCCTTCTCTTGGCGCATCTCCCACCTAGGTCCAGTCCAGCTGCAGGCAGTGAACCACTGAAAGGCCATAGCAGCAACATGCGGCCAGTTGTCCTTGGTACAGAATTATCCCCTTCCCCCTGGTAGGCCAAGAAATAGCCTGCCTGATCACCCAACTCTCTCCACCATGGACTAACCAAGGGAGGAGAGGCAAAAACCCAGCCATCTCAGGCTTTCTTCACACCAGCACATGGATGGTGTTCTTCAAGGGGTGCCCCTAGTGGACCTGGCAGTGACTTTGCATTTTCTGCCCTCTGAAATGCGTCTGCAAAAGCAAACCAGGGCAGTGCAGTGGCTGAAGCACTGGCATGAGGGTCTCCCAGAGGTCCATCCTGTTAAAACAAATCCTATTGCAAGATGCCAGCAGAATATTCTTCTTGTTCTCCTGCATGCGGCTGCTAGGGGAGGGTTTGCTCTCTGTGGCAAGGGCGCCTGCTTTGCTGGCAGGGGTTGCAGGTTCAGTCCCCAGCATCTCCAGGGAGGCATAGAAAGGAACCCTGCTCGACATTCTGGAGAGCTGCTGCCAGCCAGTTTCAACAGTATTGATCTGGATGGGCCACATGGTCTTGACTCAGGATATGGCAGCTTTATGAAATGGCTGGAGCCTCATGCAGCACCCATGCTCTCCAGAGTCATGGAAGGATGGGCTAGATTAGAGATCGGCTAAGCTTGTCAGGCCAGGTTGCTCACCTGCGGAAGCATCCTTGCTCAGTCTTTTGCAGCAGAATTGGCACTGGCACAGCCCATCCGGCACAGGCTGCCTTCCCTGATTCTGCTCTTACCACAAGCCCAGATGCAGCCAGTGCAAGCAGCTTCTGGGCAAGCCAGCATCCCATGGGAAAAGCTGCTGATGTGGGCTAAAGGTCACTTGGACCCTCAACCGTCAGTGGCAGTTTCCAAGCAGTGCAGGGGTGGCGGTGGGAGGCAAAACAATGGGCTTGTTTCTGCGTGTCTGCCAGTTCCTTTCAATGCATACAAGTCATGTTTGCACGTCCTTAGAATTTAGTTCATGGTCAATACAAAGATCTTCTTGTGCTGATGTGCTGAGCATCCCAAAATGAGTGCAAGTTAATTTCACCAAGTTCATTTCTGCGATCTAAAATGCATTTAAGTGCTTTCTGATACAACAGTCCTTCTTCCTTGGTTTCAGAGGCATCCTGCTCACCTGAAATTGTGCGGCAGCAGAGTGAGTGGGGAGGCGAGGTCATGAATTTCTCATGGATTTTTTTTTCTCTCCTCGTACAAAACAGGAAATTTCCCTTAGAGAATCAGAGGTGGTCCTGTGTGGTGGAACAGAAAGTATGAGTCAAGCGCCCTATGTTGTTCGAAATGCACGCTTTGGAACAAAATTAGGAGTCGATCTCAAGGTAAGGACTCAGGATGTGTAGCCATGGTTCTTCTCAGCTCCATTGCATACGCACTCATGGCAAAACGTTCTGAAGAAGCCATCCTTCTTTAGGCCACTCTGCTCTGAGTGGCTCAGGTGTAAAAGACTGCGTGTCCTCCTCACCAGTGCAATGGTTAGAGGGCTGGCCTGGGACTGGAGAGATCCAGCTTCTAGTGCTTCCTCAGCCATGAAGCACACTGGGCAACTTCCAATGTGCATAACCCTTTTTATTTAAACGTCATTTTAATTGTTAGCAATATTTACTTATTAATCTGGCCAGGGCGACTTCTTTTCTTTTCTTTTATAACTTTTCTAACTCCTTTTATATCGTTTATATTTTTTATTTATTTTATATTTTATATTATTAATTTTAATTTTATATTGTTATGCTTGTATTGTATTGTATTGTGTTGTAAGCCGCCCTGAGGCTTCGGCAAGGGGCGGCATAGAAATGTTATAATAATAACAACAACAACAACAACAACAACCGAACTCCTCGCATTGTTGTTGAGGGTGAAATGGAGAGGAGGAGGACCTTATAAGCCCCTCTGGTTTTCTTGCAAGAGGAAGAAAGGCAGAGTGAAACTAATGTAATAATAGACAGTAAGGCAAATGGGGGGAGTCCTGTCCCTTCTGCCCTCTGTAAGTAGTGGGCATTGAGCAGTCGTGTACTCTTCTCGTGTGAAGGAACTTCAAACACTCTCAGGGCTCTTTGCAGGGGCCTGAAGCGAGCTGGCGCAGTCCTGTGGGAGATGTTATGCACAACTGCAGCACAACAGGCAGCAACTCTGAGCCAGTGTCCAAAATTTGCACCTCAAGTGTACCCACTTGTTCTGAAGGTCTGAGGGGGTGGAGTAATGCTACCTTGGAAACACCGCTGTTCTGGAACAGTCAGATGTTCCCAGCTTGGATGTGCTATTAACCTTCAGCCAGTGCTGCAGTGATTTTTTCCAGAGATTTTTTTTTTAAACAAGAAGCTACTGCTCTAGCATGTGAGCGAATGCAGTGCTGCTTCCTCACCCTTGTCAGTTGCTACAGGTGCAAGCTGGTGAGGAGGGCAACAGCAGGTGGATTGCATCCTCAGCACCTGGAAGACTGAGCTTGGCCCTCATCCCATAGAGCTCTGCTTGCAACCCAAGCAAGAATGCCCAGCCTGTCTTAGAAAAATGCCCCAGATTGTCAGCATTTGGATTCAGCATTTGTAGCGTCTACACCACATTCCTACTTAAGGGTCTGTTTGTTCTTGCTTACAAACAAACACAACCTAGTCCCAAATGCTGTTCCAATAAAAGTCGAAAATATGCAGGCTACATAAAGATTGGGAGTCAAGCAGCAGTGTATTTGTAGATTGCGTTTTGTGTCTATTGGCCAGGGGCAGAAGGCATTGTGCCTTATTTAGACTGGGGAGAAACCTGCTTAGCGATTTCTGCAAGGATTGCCTATGGATTTCAAGTCTATCTCTGATGAAAAGCTGGACATCTCAGGATACTGAATCCCAGAGTAGGTACCAAACTCTGCATTTGTCCTGCACAGGTAATATGGAAGAATTCGAGAATGAGGCCTTAGAACTGCAGACCTATGTCATCTTTTAGCTCTCATGGCACAATCATTTGCACCAGAAGTCTTTAATGATAATGGTAATGCTAAAATCCAGCTGCATCGTCATTGTTTTCTTTCTGGCAGATGGAAGACACACTGTGGGCAGGGCTGACTGATCTGCACATTAAGACCCCGATGGGTGTTACAGCTGAAAACCTCGCTGCAAAACATAACATCACAAGAGAAGACTGCGACCGTTATGCGTTGAAGACACAGCAGAGGTGGAAAGCTGGTCAGTAACGGCAAATGTTCATTTCGAAAGGAGCCACAGTTCTCACAAACAGCAGATGCGGGGATAGGCCTTGGGGCTGGATTGTAATACTTCAGCTGCCAGCAGGGGAGGGCCATGGAGGAATGGTCCCACTCTTCTCCCAGACGGACATTTTAAGCTGGGTAAACTTAACCAGTCTCAGTGCTCGGTGGTTGTACTTTGGACAAAAAGTATAGAAGGTGAAATTGGGGTGCTTGTTGCTACAGTTTGCGGAGTCAATTCCCTAATCCAGAAGATAGCGGACTTTTGCTGGAGGCCTGCCTTTCCCACTCCGTCTTTGAAACAGATCGCAACGAGGCTTCTAGCAGCAGTCTTTATGAGACCTGTCCCCAGCGACTTCAGTGGCAGGGCTCAGTCCCACCGGGATGTGTGAAAGCTCCCAGCGATGGAGGCTTGCAGGTGTCCTGGCAGAACAGGAAGAGCTGCAGAGGCCATCTTGGATGCAGAGGCCTGCAGTTTCCTCTAGACAGTCCTTTCCACCTGTTTAGCTGGAATATCTCACAGCAGGACAGGCAGCCTCTGGTTCCCCACCTCACCATGCAGTGTGCAGATTCCCCCCACCCCTCCAGCTCATTGCCCCTCATAGGATTGGCTCAGTTTTTCTCCTTGGCTTACTGCTTGGCCGTGATCCCTGCATCAGTGCTCTGTAGCTCATATGTATATCTGACAGCTAGAGGTAGAGGCGCAGTGGAGGGAACCAAGTAATAAAGTGGTGGCAGGAGCAAAAAGCAGCTGCTGGCTGCTGGAGAGGAGGCGCTTTAGGGTCAGGTGCCATTATTTCAGTGTTACAGGAATCAGCCTTTTAAAGAAAGTGTTTTGTAGTAAAGGAAGTGTGGAAGAAACAGATGGCATTGACAAGAGGAGGATGCAGGAAGATGATGGAGAGGGGGCAGAACTTCCTGGAAATGAAGGATGAAAATGATGAGGACTTTGACAGGAAGGGGATCTGTCTCTGTGGGGTTCAGTGGGGGACAGATGCTCTTGTGCAGGAGTCCGAAGGGTAAAAGCACAAGGTTTGCAAACCTGTCCTGTGTTTATAAGGGCTCAGAAAATACGGCCTTTTCATGATTTCACACAAGAGGTAGGCAGCGGGCTGTATCCTCATCAGCCAGCAGCAAATGTGGTATAGTGGTTAAGAGCATGGGACTGGGACTCGGATGATCTGGGTTCTAGTCCCCACTCAGCCATGGAGCCAGCTGGGTGACTTTGGGCCAGTCACAGACTCTCAGCCCAGCCTACCTCACAGGGTTGTTGTTGTGGAGATAAGATGGAGGAAGAGAATGATGTAAGCTGCCTTGAGCCCTTTGCAGGAAAAAGGCAGGATATAAATCGAAAAATAAATAAAATAAATAAATAAAAATGTCAGAAGCATCCCTGTGTTTCTAGTGAACACCTTTTAATTTTAAGGAGTGCTTCGCATTACATGAAAAGCTCCTTCCCTTTTGCAGCCTCCAGCCTCTTTCGGCACTCACCACCCCTCTGCTTGCCGCTTCCCTCCACTGGACGCCATCACTAGTTGGCAAATACGGATGATGGTCACTGAGCTGTAGCAAGATCGCAAATATTACCAAAAATGCATGGCAGACCCATAGAACAGAGGGGGGCATTTGTGCAAATTATGGCAGAGCAATAGAATGAGGGTGGCAGGGGGAAATTTGCTCACTGCAGGAAAAAGAAATTAAACTTTGCAAACGCTTTCCAGTGTTCGTGAAGACTCAACATTTATATTCACTTTCGCAATTGGATGTTGTGCGGAGTTTCCTTCATCAGCCAGCAATAAGAGTAGACTGCTTGAAGAATGGGGGGTTCTGTAGCCATGAGGAAAGAGGGTTTATGTTGCAAAAACCCCTGGGCTACATGCCAGCAGACCTCAAGCTGGTGGACTGGGAGAAGGGCCAGCCACAGGAAGCCACCAAACAGAAAACTGTTGGTGAGGAGTAAGGACAAGCCACTCACCCACCATGGCTTCTTCCCAGGGTGGCTTAGTCTGATGGGTGAGCCAACTCTGTAAGCTGAGCATCTGGGCACATGGAGGAACCTCATGCACCTCACGCATGGCCTCTGCAGTGGATTTATGTATTTATTCGTTATATTCTACCTTTCTCCCATTGTGGAACTCAAGGCGGCTATGTAGGGTCCCCAGGTGGTCTCTCCTCCAAGCTCAGGCCAGCGCCAGACCTTTTTAGCTTCAACATGTGCCTTTGGACCATACACTCTCCTACTGGTGTCTTTGAGTTCTTGCTCCATGACCGTCTTTTGTTTTTAGCTCATGACGCTGGTCACTTTGAGGCGGAAATGGCACCCATAGAAGTGAAGAGCAAGAAAGGCAAACAGAATATGGCCCGGGACGAACACCCGCGACCCGAGGCAACATTGGAGCAGTTGGGAAAGCTTCCGACAGTCTTCAAGAAAGATGGGACTGTCACAGCCGGAAATGCCTCGGTAAGCCATGTGGTTTGAGAACTCGATCTAAGAATTCTTTGCAGGACGTGTAAAAGTTTTGCAAAACTTTTGTAAAAGGCACCTGCAAGTTTTTAATCAGTTGCTAATGTATTCATTTTGGATGTCATTGCTGTCCTTTCCCTGGAGCTGATGTCAGATTCCTGAGAGATGATGTTGTTTTTAATATGAACATATACCATGTTGTCCTTTCGCTTAATTTCTTTTCTGTCCTCACAAATAAGCCAGCCAGGACCAAAGGCAAAGCAAGGCAGAGGCAGGGGCAAAGAGGCACAAAGGCAAAGGCAAGGCAAACAGGCAAAGCCCCTTATGGAACACTGTTAGACAGCAGGTTTGCAGAGAGAATTGTGGCAGAGCTCCAAAAGAGACTATCCTTCTTCACAGTTCAAGAATGCAGAGCTCCACCATCACATGCCTGGAGAATTTTCTGGCCCAGCTCCAGGAATACTTTTAGAAAACTTTCTGGCATGTGGTACTTACCAGCCAGCATCTCAGTGGAGTTGGGCAGATACCGAGGCCCATTGTAAGTGGTGAAGTTTATGGGTACTGGCTGCAGAAGTGTGGTCCTAGGTCGGATCTTGAAATGCAGATTTTTCCTGCTGGCTAGCAAGGAATTGCATGCTGGCATGAATGTTCCTCCACAAATAAAACATCAGCATACATGGGGGACATGATATTCCTCTGTAAGTACCTCAAAGGCTGTCACAGAGAGGAAGGTCAGGATCTCTTCTTGCTGATGCCAGAGTGTAGGACAAGGAATAATCAATTCAGGTTGCAACAACCCAGATTCAGGCTGGACATCTGGAAAAGCTTCCTCACTGTCAGAGCAATACGATAGTGGGACCAGCTGCCTGGAGAGGTGGTGGGCTCTTCCACACTGGAGACACTCAAAAAGAACTTGGACATCCCCCTGAGTGGGATGGTGTGACTTGGTGTCCTGCAACAGCAGGGGGCTGGACCCGATGGCCTTCATGGCCCCTTTGGACATGCACATAGTGGGCATGTCATGAGTGGAGCCGGCTGGAGCTGGGGGTCAGACTAGATGGCCCTGGAGGTCCCTTCTGACTCACTTTGTTTCTATGTTTCTGTGTTTCCCATTCTGCTGCTCTGTGAGTCTATGAAAGATGCTTGTTCCCTGTTTGCAGGGCTCTGCTTTCTTCCACTTGAGAGGGGATGTCTTTGAAGGCACAGACTGGGCTGTCAGCCACCTCTCCATGCTTTCAAAGCTCTGCTTGGACGAGACAGATGTTTCATTGATACGCGGCCTCTTGCACACCGCCACCGCCCCTGGCCTGGCTGTACATCGGTAGTCCCTGTTCAGATAAATTCCCTCCACCACTGATTTAAAGAAGTCCTCCTGCACAAACGAGCAAATCAAGCAGAAGTCCCCTTTCTGCTCTCCACATGCAGAATCTTAATCTAGTTTGTGACAGGTTTCAAATCTTTCCGCGCAGCCCCTAGCAGCTCTGAATCCCTTGTCAGTTGAAATCCTGTGTAAAATAGAAAAATAGAGTGAAAGCACAAGCAGCTGTTCTAATGCTGCTTTCACACGAGCCTTTTCGGGCTTATCTGGAAAGCAGCTGCGTAAATCATAATTTTGTAGCACAACGTTCAGCTGCAGCAGTATCCTAATAATACAGGGAGTCCCTAAGTAATGAATTTCCAACATAGGAACAATCTGTACTTATGAACAAAGTGCTACAAAGCTTATTAATTTTTTAAAATTACTGTGGAAAATCATTATCACCATAGAGAGAGAGGAAGTGAAAGGGGAAAGAAGGAACGTCTCCAAAGCATCACCATAGAGAAAGCAAAAGGGGAGAGAGGGAGCCCTCCAAAGCAGACCTTCTTGCACCACCCATCCAGAGAAGGAAATCCCTCCAGAATTTCCTTGCTGCAAAGAGGAGGCACTGGTGAGATACAGTGGGAGTGCCTAGAGATATTTGAGGTTTTTCCGCTTTCACTGGGGTCCCGCGTCCCTAATCCCCATGAATGTGGAGGACCAACTGTATGTGATCTGATTTACATACATTTCAACTTAATGACGAATTTCCATTTTCTCAGGAACAGAACCCAGGGACTGCCTGTAAATAAAATTGAGTAAGGCTTGTTTTGTTTTTGTTTTCCATTTCTCAGTTTCATTTTACAGCAAAGTCACAGCGTTACTGCAAGGCTGTTCCACTGATCTTTGAGCTCCCATAAAATAGGAATACCTTGATCATAGTCTCATAAAAGAGTGTCTTTATCCCTGACCTGTGTAGGTTCAGGATGGCACTTTGGAAATGAATTGTTCCATTTTTCTGGCACAGGATGGCCACTGTGAAACTAAGCCAGTAGTTTGAGTCAGTCCAGCAACAGGGGGGTTGTTTTGCAGCTCAAGACATTCCGTCACTGGTTTATTCCAGATTGGGTGTAACATATTCTTCCATTCCTAGGGAGTATGCGATGGAGCTGGAGCAGTGATCATAGCAAGTGAAGAAGCTGTTAAAAAGCACAGCCTTACTCCATTGGCCAGGATAGTAGCCTATGATGCTACTGGATGTGACCCCAATATCATGGGCATTGGTAAGTTGCAAGGATAGGGACCTCTTTGCTAATCATTCAAGGCACATTCAGCTTCTGCAGGCCCCAGCAGTCCTGGTTTGCAGGCAGTAGCAAGAATTCTGCTCCATTTTTAATGGCAGTGGCCTTCCAGGAACAGACTAGACAAATGATTGCCTTCTTCCTATTTTTCTTTGCTTTTCTTGCTCTGTTTTAAGCTTGAGGATATCTCTCCAGCTCTGGGGAAAAGGAGATTTGTATTCAAAGAAATAAAATATGAACCAGGGAGAATGTTTATACAAACATAGACAGCTTGAGACCACAATATTTTGTGGAGCTGTTCCCCCAAATTCAGTCTAGTCTGATGCTATGGGCAACATCCTAGTCTTCCTCGGAGGGTCAGCCCCAAGGGAGCTGCAAGGAGGAGGGCCTTCCCAGTGGCGGCCCCACAAATGTGGAAAGGTCTCTCCACTGAGGCTCACCTGGCACCTACATTGCCATCCTGTCAGTGTCAGGTTAAGGCGATAAAAAGTTGAGGCATTTAAAGGCATCCATGGATATTTAATGGTTTGAAAGGAGTGCCCACCCCAGGAGTTTCACAGGTCTACTCTGTATCAAACCTTTTAGCTGTCTTGAAATGTTAGGGTTTGGCATTTTTTATGGTATTTTATTGCACTGTCTGCTTATTGAACTGGTGTAAGCCACCCAAAGAGCTTTGACTTTGGGACAGTACAGAAACGAAGTGAAAAAGAAAGCCATGCCAGGTCGGAGCAAGGTCTGCCTGGTCCAGCATTCACACAGTAGCCATCAGTTGCCTGTGCAACACTGAAGTGGGATTGAATGCAGCAGCACCTGCCTGGTTGTGCTTCCCAGCTTACCGTCGCCAAAACTGAACGTAGCGTATAGCCATCTGGGACACTCTTGGGCAGACAAGAAATGTCCTTGTGGGAAGGGCAAGGTGGGCATTTATGCATCGCAGCGAAGGAATGTTTGTCCTCTTGGGCAGTTTTTAGTATTATTTAACGCATCACAAAATAACTCAGCCACAGAGGGGAGGGCTTTGCAATTTGTTACTAGTGATGCCTCAGACGTTATCCAGTAAGTCATGACAACACCCTATTCCATCTATTGCTAGCAAGTGCACTAAATCTATTGTTTTGTAGGAAAATTCCTCTGCCACATCAGAATTGCAAGTTCAAGGGAAGATCTACAAGCTGTGGGCAGCCATTGAGGGCTTTTCCATGCCCTCCCTTTTTTCTCTCTGCCAGCTCATGTAGTAAAGATAGCAAATGAAAACACTATTAGCAGAATGCAGAAAATGCTAAATGACGGCACGTAAGAGCTCTAAAGTTAGGCTGTTTTCCTCAGTAGAGAATTTTTTCTCTTGGCCTTGGATCACACACCTCCAAATGTTCCTGAAACATAGTGCTCCAAAAGCACCACTCGATGCTTTGGATGCCAGAGAGCATCATCTTCAGGCCGAAGCGGAATCTACAGAGAAAGAGATTCCAGCTAAGCTTACCACAGATATGAAGCTCTGAAAGGGATGGCTTTGTAATTGCCGTGTGTGTGCTTGGATGTGTGTTAACACAGGTCCGGTACCCGCCATTACCGAAGCCCTGAAGAAAGCTGACCTTTCCCTGAAGGACATGGACTTGGTTGAGGTAAGGAAAATAGATGGTCGAGGTGCAGGAAACAAAATACTCAAGAGTAGCCTATGGTGGCACTTAGGATAATTAAGTACTATGACAAAGTAAGCTACGGCTGAATGGTGTTGTACATACAGATGAAATTTATGTGCAGCTCTTAGCCAGCTGTATGCAGGAATATGAGTACAAAGTACAAGAATGATTTTCTAAAGATTTTTTTTTTTTTTAGTTGTTTCTATGCTGCCCCCATTGCAACAACAAAGCCTCTGGGCGGCTCACAAAAAAATACAAAAAAAAATACATAAACAATAACAGTATAACAATTTAAAAGAAAAAAAACATTTAAAACCCCCGGTGCATTCTCGGCTAATTTTAAAATCCTAATAAATGCAATAATTTAGCAATTAAAATAAGTTTTAAATAAAAATGTCTTAGCCTGGTGCCGAAAAAAAAATAACGACGGCGCCAGGCGGACCTGTCTGGGGAGCACATTCCATAGATTGGGCACCACCGCAGAGAAAGCCCTCCTCCGGGTACTCACCCTCCTAATATCCTTCACAGAGGGTTCCCGGAGAAGGGCATCTGTTGCTGCTCCCAAGGGGCGGGAGGGCATATATGGGCGCAAGCGTTCTTTTAGATATCCAGGTCCCAAGCCATTCAGGGCTTTATAGGTCATAACCAACACCTTGAATTGGGCCCAGACTTCAGTCGGGAGCCAGCGGAGCTGATGGAGAACTGGGGTTATATGAGAACAACACCCAGTCCCCGTCAGCAACCTGGCAGCTCTTTTCTGCACCAATTGAAGTATCCGGACCGTCTTCAAGAGTAGCCCCACATAGAGCGCGTTACAGAAATCTAATCGGGAAGTTACCAGCGCGTGTGTCACTGTCGCCAGGCAGTCGTTCTCCAGGAAGGGACGCAGCTGATGTATCAGCCGAAGCTGAAGGAAGGCGCTCCTCACCACCGCCATCACCTGAGCTTCTAGAGACAGCTTAGCGTTGAGGAGCACTCCCAGGCTGCGAACCCTGTCCCTCAGAGGGAGTGCAACCCCATTTAGGACAAGGCCCAAGTCCCCCATCCCGAGGCCCAAGCCACCCACCAACAGGACCTCCATCTTTATGGACTGAGCTTCAGTTTATTGGCCCTCATCCAGCCCATTACCTTGGCCAGACACCGGTTCAGCACAGCCACTGCCTCACCTGGATTGGTGGAAAATGAGAGGTAGAGCTGGGTATCATCATTGTACTGATGATTCCGCAGCCCACACCTCCTGATGACCTCTCCCAGCGGTTTCATGTAGATATTAAATAGCAAAGGGGACAAAATGGACTCCTGTGGAACTCCATGGCATAACTGCCATGGTGCAGAGCCATAGTCCCCCAGCACCACCTTCTGAAATCGGCCATTGAGATAGGAGCAGAACCACCGCCATGTGGTGCCTCCAACTCCCATTCCCGCTAGCCTATCCAGAAGGATACCATGGTCGATGGTATCGAAAGCCGCTGAGAGGTCCAGGAGAACTAACAGGGACGCACTCCCCCTGTCCTTCTCCCTGCACAGGTCATCGTACAGGGCGACCAAGGCAGATTCAGTACCGTACCAGGGTCTGAAGCTGGACTGAAATGGGTCCAGATAATCAGTTTCATCCAAGAGTGCTTGGAGTTGTCCCGCCACCACCCGCTCTAGCACCTTGCCCAGAAATGGGATGTTGGGCACCAGTCTGTAATTGGTGGCCACCTCTGGATCCAGGGATGTCTTCTTTAGGACTGGCCAGACTACCGCCTCCTTTAAAGGGGCAGGTACCCAGCCGTCTCTTAAAGAGGCGTTGACCACCTCCAGGATCCAGGTCCCAATCCCGTCCTTGGCTTTCTTAAGTAGCCAAGATGGGCATGGGTCTAGTAAGCAAGTGGTAGGACGTACTTGTCCAAGCACCTTGTCCACATCATCAATCTGCAACAACTGAAATTCATCCATTAATTGTGGACTCGATGGCGTCTCCCCAGTAGAATCTGGTTCAATAGCAGAGTCAAGCTCGTGGTGAATCTGAGCGATTTTCTCCCTGAAATGCTTGGCAAAGTCGTCACAGCGGGCCTTCAAGGGGGGCACAAGATCTTTCTTCGGGCCCGGGTGTATCAGCCCCTGCACCACCTGAAAAAGCTCCGCCGGACGGCATTGTGAGGAGGCAATGGAAACGGAGAAGAATTTCTTCTTCGCCATCCTCACCGCCTCAGCATAGGCCCAATAATGGGTTCTTAAGTGTGTTCGGTCAGAATCACCCCGTGATCTCCTCCACCTACGCTCTAGACGTCTCCCAACCTGCTTCATCGCCCGTAATTCAGTTGTATACCAAGGAGATGAACGGGCTCTGCCGGGTGGGAGAGGACGCTTGGGAGCGATCGTGTCAATAGCCCTGGTCATCTCCTCATTCCACAGTTCAAGCAGGGCATTGACAGGATCACCAGCCTTGTCAACCGGAAAATCCCCCAGAGCTTCCAGGAATCCATCAGGATCCATCTGGCTCCGGGGGCGGACCCATACAATTGGGTCCGCACCCTTGCAGAGGGAAAGGCTGCTCTCGAGCTCAAACCTTATGAGGAAGTGATCATTATTTTCCGGCTGGAAGCAACATCCGAACACTGGAATTGGGTTTCCCCATCTATAGATGGCGTAGTCCTAAAGCAACTGAGAAGTGCTGCAAGGCACGGAATCCAGGGGGGCTCCAGTTGTGGCCCCTGCATCAGGTCAACAGCTTCCTCTGCCTGCTGGAGGGCAAGAGGGCCTTTAGCTGCACTGAACAGTTACAGATGGCTGCCCTTTCCTTTTTTCAAGTTGCATTTCTGTGTCCATTTTCTGTATTCAGAGCAGGTCCCCAATTCTGTGAGCTCACCTTTTCTGGGTCTTTGCATCACCCACATGTAAAATAAAACCACCCAGGAAGGAAGGTCCGTGGATGCCCGAAGGCCCATTTTCCCCCATGTCACCCTGCCCAGCAAGTAGGGTGAATGGGAAACACCTCTGCTCTTTAATATCCCACCCCCTCACAGACACAGCTGGCAGCAGTGCATAAGAGGGTCTATTATTATTATTACATTTTTATACTGCCCATAGCCAAAGCTCTCTAGGCAGTTGACAGCAATAATCATACACTCAAGTCACCCATCCCATTTCTGCCCAGGCCTGACCCTGCTTAGCTTCCAAGATTAGGCAGGATCAGGCACTTCAGGCTACGTGGAAGCTATAGTCTAATGGCTGTGGCCCCTGCCCTTTGGAATGCAAGATGCAGCTGCTCTTCCTATCGAGACCAAAGGGCACCCATCCCCGATGGCCCCTCGCAGCCTCGAGGGAAACGTCCTTCCTCAAACTATATTGGCTGTTATTTCGTGGCCACCTTCCATTCCAAGGTGGTTCCGTTGGTTGATTTGCCACTTGCTTGCTTTGCAGCTTCAAGTGTGGCTTTGATCCTTTATTGTTAACCAGTGGTTCAGTTTGTGAACTGGAAAGACAGGTTTTTATTTATTTTATAGTTGCAAATATATAATTACAGTTATTATATATTTGACATTTAAGAGTAGAGAGCAGGAGATGCCTCTGAACCACACACTGTGGGGAATTTGGAATGGATGTGAACTTGGGCCTATCTGCGACTGGAATTCCACTTAGGTGTGTTCTGATAGTGGCTCCTGGTGTTCTACCATGAATCTACTGGCCAGACAGCAGCAGAGTTTCACACCTGGCTTCTTTTCTTCTCCGCTACATGAGGTGGTTCAATGCGCTTTATGTGCTGCAGGCACAGCATAAATGAAATGTTCAAGCAAGTCTTTGCTCACCTGGCCTTTTGCTCTTGCTAAGCTTTGGAGCAAGCTGACACTTGGCTTTTCATCTGCTCTCTCAAAAACCAGTTCCAGTGGTTCAAAACTGAAAACAGAACGTTATACACTTTCACATGCTTTGAATAATATTATCTTTAACATCATCATTCACGCCCAGGTTTGCCTTTGCATGCATGTCCTCATCTCTCCACCTTCTTTATGCTTTTGACTTTTTGGACAGGTTGCTTGCTCTACGTAGCACTCAGATCAGTGGCCTCTCCCTCTCTATGGCTGCCAAGCATACCTGAAGGTCTACCTTCTCCCACAGGAACCTGTCTATGCACTGAGGGCCCTTCTGCAGTTTCCCTTACCTGTGGAAGTGGCACAGGTGCCAGCCACAGGAATTGTGTTTTATGGTTGTTTTGTTTGTGTATGTGTGTTCTCCTCTCTATTCATTATGCCCTGGCAGCCTCAATGGAAGTAAGAAATGAGGGGGATGTGATTTTAAAAATAAATGTTTCAGAGTTCCTCAAGGTACATGTTAAATGACTTTGATTCTGTTTTAACATGTGCTTTTGTTCCCGGATTCCCAGCCACTGCCCCTGCAAAACAAGAAGTCCCTCGTGCTAGGCTGCTTGCTGAGTCCTTCCAGACAGAAGGCTCCTAATGCTGCTGCTCAAGAGGCACTGCAGCTATTCTGTCTTCTCGTTTAGTCTTCTGGTAACAAAAAAGCTGACCAGTTAGCACTGAGAAAAAGTTGGAAGATTGCAAATGCAAGAAAACAATATCTGAGCCCTCTGTAAAATTCTCGGAATGGGACAGGCTGATTGCACAATAATAATCTTCCTTCAAAACACTGTGAGGCAGTAAAATCATTGCTAAGGATAACATCAACCAGAGTTCTGGCTCACATGATCCAACAACCTACTGTGGTTTAAATTTATCTTATGGTGTTAGGTACACAGGCACCATTTTTGTATGGTGGATACTGGCATTTGTCTTGCCTGGCTTGTTTTCTCGTGAATATGCAAGGGGCAGGATTTGTTTGTGGGTTAAACAACTCTCCAATAACCCATGACTTGTTTCAGGGTTATTTCAGGGTTCTCTAACCCCCATACAGCCCCTGCTACTTGGGTTTGCATGACACCAGCCGCAAAATTAATATCCTTGAACATCCAACAGACTCTGACAATGCCCATGGATAAATAAAGCCATGGCAGGCTGTCAGGATGCAGAAGGGCCAAGAATGTATTTACAGCAACTCAGCCAACGGTGTTTCCAACCTCCTTTCATATATTTCAAGGTCAATGAGGCGTTTGCACCACAGTATTTGGCAGTGGAGAAGGTTTTGGGTCTGGACCCAGAGAAAACAAATGTCAACGGAGGAGCCATCGCATTGGGTCACCCACTGGGCGCATCAGGATCAAGAATCATTGCTCATCTAGTCCACGAACTACGGTATGTGAATGGACAAAAGACGCTCTAGGGACCACTTCTCTCTCTTTCTCCCTCTCTCTCTCCCTCTCTCTCCCTCTCTCTCTCTCCCCCCCCCCCCCCC